ACTTTTTATCATCTTTTACAAAATAAAACCCACATAATTTGATTTTCACACCTTTTTACAAATTTTGATCAACAGCTATAGCCAATTAGTAAATTATGACCATTTTGTGCAAAAAAAAATACATAAAAATGGGGCATGTAGTTGTACCAAATTTTTTTGGCGGGAAAGATTGTTGCTCAAATAGTTGACAGCTCTTCCTTCCAGTTCCTAAGAAATATTCCGAAATGTACATATTGATACAAAGGTATCTTTGTATATTTTCCTGTTTTGTTTAGTTTGAATGAATAAAAAGTACATTTCTTGTACAGCACAAACATTACATAAACTTTAGAAGGCAACTTGAGTGCATATAATAAAAATCATCTTTAGTACAAACGGTTATATTTCTGCATATATCTTCCCTTTATCACATGCTTGGTTGCCTAGCAACTAGACAACACAACATTTTACTATTATAACCTATATCATGCAACATGTGAATAATCGTCATGCAAAACGATTAGCATTATGCATGATTGCATCACTTTTTGTGGATAGTGCAGGAGAATTTGCAACGGGCATAATACACTGTATATAGCGATACGGTAGATATAATTTGGCTGTAGTACATATTGTTCTTTCCATCTCTCTGTCTAGGACCTCCTCGGTCAAAGTGTTCAACAAATATAGTGATTTGGTAGTGTATATATTGTAACTGAAGAAGAAAATGTGTAATATTTTCTTGTTTTTGCCTGTATTATATTGAGAGAAAAAAAAAATGTCTGAAATAAATCAATTGACCACCCATACTTCCCCTGTATAAAGGTAAAATCCCCATGTGTAGAATATTAGTTTATAAAATGTGGTGTATTCCTTCATGCTAGAGGTACATAGATACATGGCTGTAATGGCCGTTAGTAAAAAAAAACAAATTGTTGTATGTACTTGCATATATGGGGTTGCCTCCATTTTTAATGTTTGTTGTAAAATATAATGTATCATGTAATGTAAATAGAGAAAGAACCCAAGTAAATATGCCATTTTGTCTCCCATGTAATTATATTGGTGATTTTAGTAAATAAAAAATTGCCAATATTTAGTTTGTTTTATTCTATGACTATATGTAGTAACCAGTTAAAGCGCCAGTATTGGAACGTTGCTGACTACTGGTATTCACATACATAAAAATTGTCCAATCTCCATATTTAGAAGTCTCCAATGTGGTGCTTATGAAATATTTAGTCTGATTAGCCTTAGCACTTTAGTACAAGTTGACTGAAAGTGAATGTCCTCTATTGAGCTAAAACCGAAGTATAGGTAATAGTGTAAAACCTGCATTTAGAAGCTGTGGTTACTATTGAAATGGTACAATGCAACAGACAGATGCCGCTTCTATTAGAGCAAGGTGAGTTTTGGGTTTTCATTGTGCATAAGAATGGGTGTGGCTACTAACACGATTTTATGGTACTACTTTTTGGCCTGTTTTCTTCTAACATTGAGTTAGCATCTACTATGAAAGTACTCTTTCTTTATACCCGGTAGTCTCCATTTACTAGTCTTTGTTTAATGCCCATTTTCAAGGACTGTTTTTAGTTCGAAATTGTGAACTTATAATTCAGTCACTGCCCTCTTTACCGAATCCATTAATTCTTTGCATGTGCCGACTGGCGACCATCTTGCGTTTTGGTCATACTACTCCAAGACTAATGAACCATTCATTCGAGCGGAGCTTATCATATGAGTGATTGTCTGTCGGCGTCCGTCACCCGTGTCAATGTTTTACTTTTTCGATTTCTTTTTGAAAACTACAAGTCTGAATGTTTTGATACTTGGTGTATATGTACCTTGGATTTGTTCATTTCATGATGATATTTTCAATTCTCTAATTTTGATGAATATTTTTGGTGAAAAGTGATATTTTCGAATTCTTGTTAAAAACCAAAAGTTCAATTGCTTTGACGTTACATATATAGATACTACATGTAGACCTTTCTCAGATTTGTTCATTTCGTGATGATATCTTAAATTCTCTAATTTTGGTGAATATTTTTGTCATTTTTGGTAGAAAGTGATATTTTCGACTTCATGTTAAAAACTGTAAGTCCGATTGCTTTGATACTACCGGGGTATACATATTGTTCATTTTCTAATGATGTCTTCAGTTCTTTAATTGAAATGTGCATTGCTAACAGTGGAGCTATCTCAGCCGATAGTTTTTTTTTACACTGTGCTCTTATTTGTATCTCTTAGCTATTGCTATCACTTGAAGAGATGAAACGTACTTCACTGTCCGTGTGCCACGATTGCTTTGATATTTATACATATTGTTCATTTCTAATGATATCTTCAGTTCTTTAATTGTAATGTGCATTGCTGACAGGCTGCTTGTTATTCATATTTTCATCATCATACATGTTGGAATACATGCCCAAGTCAGTTGGTTTTATAATCAGATCAAAGATGGCTAACCGACAGCCATCTTTTATTTTAAAAATGTTTTGTAGGTTTTCAATTAAATTTGGTACGTAAATTGTACATGTTGAGATGCATGTCCGTGATTAGTTTCATGATCAGATCCAAAATGACCAACTAGCATGTTTTTTTCTTTGGATTATACATGTTAGGATAGATGTCCATGACAATTATTGTTTCACAATCTGATCAAAGATGGTCGACTGGTAGCCATTTTTTTTCGACCATACTACTACACTGCATGTCACCTACATACTGTTTTTATTGATAGTTAACTGCACAACTTTTAAACTAACATTGTATTAGCTATATAATTTAGGTGAACTGGTACGTAACTGCTTGCTGAATCTTAATTTTATGGTTTTCATTAAAGTTAAAAATCAAAAATACAAACTCATGGCCAGTGATTTACAGAATAAAATAATATTCTAACCCAAACAACTCAGTTTATCCTGTAAACCAACAGCTACTCTATCAACATCAGTGTCCAATTGCAACCTTCACTGAGATAATACCGGGGTAGTAGCG